AAAATAAAAAAAATTAGCCGGGCATGGTGGCATGTGCCTGTAATTCCAGTTACTTGGGATTACAGTCCCAGTTTCCTGCATGATCCCCTGTGATTTCCCTACACCCTGATCACACGTCCAAATTAGTCCTTTTGTGTATATAACCTCCTTGAATTGTCTTAAGTGTGCCATTTGTTTCCTGTCAGAATCTTCACAAAAGGGGGTGCAGAGTTTTAAAAATTATTTTAAGCCAGGTGTAGTGGCTCGTGTCTGTAATTCCAGCACTTTAGGAGGCCGAGGTGGGTGGATCACTTGAGCTCAGGAGTTTGAGACCAGCCTGGCAACATGGTGAAACCTTGTCTCTGCAAAAAATGCAAAACTTAGCCAGCCATGGTAGCATGTGTCTGTAGTCTCAGCTGCTTAGGAGACTGAGATGGAAGGATCACTTGAACCTGGGAAGTCGAGGCTATAGTGAGCTGAGATCGCGCCACTGCACTTCAGTCTGGGTGACACTGTGAGACCCTGTCTCAAAAAATATATTAAATAATAAAATAAAAATACAAAATAAAAAATTATTTTAGGGGGCACAAGAGCAAAAAGTCCAAGGACCACTGATCCAGACTGTAGCCCCATTCATTCGTTCCTTCCTTCCTTCATTCAGTAAACACTGACTGCACCACACTCAGTGCTTGGTTAAAGACAAACTGCATAGGGCCCCTCTTCTCAAGTAATAACAAAATAGTGTGAGCAACAGGCACACAATTAACAAAGGACAATATAATATAGTGCAATATGTGATTTAATAAAGATTTGGGGCCAGGCACAGTGGCTCACACCTGTAATCCCAGCACTTTGAGAGGCTGAGGCAGGTGGGTCATCTGAGGTCAGGATTTCAAGGCCAGCCTGGCCAAGATGGTGATACCAGTCTCTATTAAAAATACAAAAATTAGGCTGGGTGCGGTGGCTCACACCTATAATCCCAGCACTTTGGAAGGCCGAGGTGGGCAGATCACAAGGTCATGAGATCGAGACCATCCTGGCCGACATGGGGAAACCCCATCTCTACTAAAAACACAAAAATTTGCTGGTTGTGGTGGCACACGCCTGTAGTCCCAGCTACTCAGGAGGCTGAGTCATAAGAATCACTTGAACTCGGGAAGTAGAGGTTGCAGTAAGCTGCGCCACTGTACTCCAGCCTGGGCAACAGAGTGAGACTCTGTCTCAAAAATTAATTAACTAATTAATTTTAAAAAAATTAGCTGGGCATGATGGTGAGTGCCTGTAATCCCAGCTACTCAGGAGGCTGAGGCAGGAGAATGGCTTGAACCCTGGATGCGAAGATTACAGTGAGCTGAGATGGTGCCACTGCACTCCAGTGTGGGAAACAGAGCAAGATTCCATCTCAAAAGAAAAAAAAAAGAGATATATATACAAGAATGTTTGATACAACATTGTTCATGATAACATAAATTTGGAACAACCTTAATGGCTATTAACAGGAGAACAGAGGCCAGGCTTGGTGGCTCACATCTGTAATTCCAGCACTTTGAGAGGTCAAGGTGAGTGGCCGGGAGTTTGAGATCAGCCTCGCCAACATGGTGAAACCCTGTCTCTGCTAAAAATTAGCCAAGTATGGTGGCACATGCCTACAATCCCAGCTGCTCAGAAGGCTGAGACACAAGAATTGCATGAACCCGGGAGATTGCAGTGAGCTGAGATTGCGCCACTGCACTCCAGCCTGGGGAAGACCCATCTCAAAAAATAATAATAAATAAAATAAAAAGAACAGATATAAAATTGAGGTATATTGGCCAGGTGCGGTGGTTCATGCCTGTAATCTAAGCACTTTGGGAAGCCAAGGTGGGCAGATCACCTAAGGTAGGGGGTTTGAGATCAGCCTGACCAACATGTAGAAATGCTGTTCCTACTAAAAATACAAAACTTAGCTGTGCATGGTGGCGCATGCCTGCAATCCCAGCTACTCTGGAAGCTGAGGCAGGAGAATTGCCTGAACCCAGGAGGCGGAGGTTGTCGTCAGCCGAGATCGTGGCATTGCCCTCCAGCCTGGGCAACAAGAGAGAAACTCTATCTCAAAAAAAAAAAATTGAGGTATATTAATGTATGGACTATTTACAATAGCTAAAAGGACACAATTAGATTTATATATATCAGCATGGCTTGATGTTATAAATATAATGTGTGAAAAAGTAAAGATAAAGAAGGATATGTATAATATAATGCTATTGATATACATTTTATTTCAAAGCTACTGCAAATCAAACTTTTTTTTTTTTTTTGAGACGGAATTTCACTCTTGTTGCCCAGGCTGGAGGGCAATGGTGCAATCTTGGCTCACTGCAACCTCCGCCTCCCAGGTACAAGTGATTCTCCTGTCTCAGCCTCCTGAATAGCTGGGACTACAGGCGCCCACAACCATGCCTGGCTAATTTTTGTATTTTTAGTAGAGATGAGATTTCACCATGCTGGCCAGGCTGGTCTTGAGCTCCTGAACTCAGGTGATCCACCTGTCTTAGCCTCCCAAAGTGCTGAGATTACAGGCTTGAGCCACTGTGTCCAGTGCAATTAATATGAATTTTAAAGGCATACAAAAATACCTTTTTTTTTTTTAACTGAGATGAAGTTTCGCTCTTGTTACCCAGGCTGGAGTGCAACGGTGTGATCTCGGCTCACCGCAACCTCCGCCTCCTGGATTCAGGCAATTCTCCTGCCTCAGCCTCCTGAGTAGCTGGGATTACAGGCATGCGCTACCATGCACAGCTAATTTTTTGTATTTTTAGTAGAGACGGGGTTTCACCATGTTGACCAGGATGGTCTCCATCTCTTGACCTCGTGATCCACCCACCTCGGCCTCCCAAAGTGCTGAGATTACAGGCGTGAGCCACCGGGCCCATCCAAAAATACCATTGCTTATGTATTCATGTGTCTTAATTAATTCACCTCACAATTTTTTTCCTGAATGTCTAATTATGTGCTAAGTGCTATTCTCAGTTCTGGGGATACAGCAGTGAACAACAATAGCTAACAATTATATAGGACTTACCAGGAGCCAATCTTGATTTTTATTTTATTTTTTATTTTTGAGACAGAGTCTCACTCTTGCCCAGGCTGGAGTATAGTGGCACAATCTTGACTCACTGCAAACTCCACCTCCCAGGCTCAAGCAGTCCTTCCAACCCAGCCTCCTGGGTAGCCGAGATCACAGGTGTGTGCCACCACACTTGGCTAATTTTTTGAATATTTAGTAGAGACGGGGTTTCACTATATCGCCCAGGCTGGTCTTGAACTCCTGAGCTCAAGCAATCTGCTTGCTTTGGCCTGCCAAAATGCTGGGATTACAGGCATGAACCACCTCACCTAGCCATTCATTAATAATAATAATTGCAGCAAACACTTATGTAGGTACAATTCGAAACAGTTTACATGTATTAACTCATTTAATCCTTACAATACTTATGATATAGGTTCTACTGTTACCCCCATCTTTTAGATGAAGACACTGGGGTGCAGTGAAGTTAAGTAACTTGCTGAAGGTCACATGGCTAGACAGTGGTAGAGACTAAGCACAGTGGCTCAAGCCTGTAATCTCAGCACTTTGGGAGGTTGAGACAGGAGGATTGTTTGAGCCCAGGAGTTTCAGGCCAGCCTGGGCAACATAGCAAGGTCTCATCTGATCTGTACAAACAATAAAACATTAAGACTGGGTGCAGTGGCTTACACCTGTAATCCCAGTACTTTGGGAGGCCGAGGCACAGGTGGATCACCTGAGGTCAGGAGTTTAAGACCTGCCTGGCCAATATGGTGAAACCCTATTTCTACCAAAAATACAAAATTATCTGGGCATGGTGTTATGTGCCTGTAGTCCCAGCTACTTGGGAGGCAGGAGAATCAACTGAACCCAGGAGGCAGAGATTGCAGTGAGCCAAGATCACACCACTGCACTCCATCCTGGGCAACAAGAGCAAAACTCCATCTCAAAAATAAATAGGCTGGGCACAGTGGCTCACGCCTGTAATCCCAGCACTTTGGGAGGCCAAGGCAGGTGGATCACCTGAGGTCAGGAGTTCCAGATCAGCCGGCCTAACATCGTGAAACCCTGCCTCTACTAAAAATGCAAAAATTAGTCAGGCGTGGTGGCAGGTGCCTGTAATCCCAGCTACTTGGGAGGCTGAAGCAGGAGAACTGCTTGAACCCAGGAGGCAGAAGTTGCAGTGAGCTGAGATTGCGCCATTGCACTTCAGCCTAGAGGAAGAGTGAGACTTTGTCTCAAAATAAATAAATAAATAAATACATACATACATAAAACATTAGCTGGATGTGGTAGTGCACACTTGTAGTCCCAGCTACTCAGGAGGCTGAATCAGGAGTATTGCTTGAGCCCAGGAAGTCAAGGCTTCACCAACCCATGATTGTGCCGCTGCCCAGCCTGGGCAATACAGTGAGACCCTGTCTCAAAAAAACAAAAAGAAAAGAAAAAGAAAAAAGAAAAGAAATTATAGTGGCAGAGACAGCATTTGAATCCAGACAGTTTGGATCCAAGTCAGCCTATTAATCATTATGCTCTCCTGCCTTAAATTTCTGCCATCGAGGAACTTACATTCTAGTGGGTCAACAACGCAGGCAATAGAAATATATATATGTCAGACAGTGAAAGAGCAGTAGAGAAAAATAAAATGGAGAAGCAGAGGCAGAGAGGGACTATGGGGTGGATTATTGTACTTTAAAATAGACTGGTCAGGGAATGTCTCACTGAGAGATAACATTTGTATAAAGATCGAAAGGAAGTGAAGGAGGAAACCATGTAGCTATCTAGGGGTAGCAGTAAGCTTAAAGGCTCTGATAGGGGTAAACCTGGAGTGGCTAACACAGAGAGAAAAGGGAAGAGGAAGGAATAAAGGAGAGGAGGCAGAGAGAGAGGTGGGAGTAGACTGGGTGGGGCTTTGTAGGTCATAATAAGGACCCAGGTGGGGGTCTGGCAGGGGATGACAGCATCTGACTTAGTCTTTTAAAGGGATCCTTCTGGCTACTTTGCTGAAACAATAATCTGGGGGGCGGGAGGAATGCCACCGCTTGGACCAGAGTGGTAGCAATGGAGGTAGTTAGAAATGGTTGGATTCTGGATATATTTTGAATATTGAATTGACACTATTTTGTGGAGGATTGATATGAAAGAATGGACTCAAGGATGACTCAAGTTTTTGGCCAGAGTAAGTGGGAAGATGGAGAGACTGTCTCTTGGATGGAGAAGACAGCAGGAGAAACAGGTTTGGGAGAGGGTAGAAAGGTCTGGAGTTCAGTTTTGGACCTGTTGAGTTTGAGATACCTGTTGGACGATCAGGTAAAAATATTGAATGTTCAGTTGGATGTAGGAGTCTGGAGTTTACAGTAATGAATGGGGCTAGAGATAGAAATCTACGAGTTGTCCTCATGTAGATGGGGCTTGAAATCATGAGAAAGGATGAGGTTCATCAGAGAAAAGAAGATGGAGCAGTGAAAAGGCAGGAACCAAGCCCTGCGCTCCCAGAATTTAAAGATTGTGGAGGAGAGGGAAGAAGTAGAGAAGGAGGAGGAGTCAGCAAGGAAAAATTGAGAAGGAACAGCCAATGAGGTGGGAGGAAAGCCAGGAGGTTGCAGGGTTTCATAAGCAATTGAAGAAAGTGATTTCAGAAGGAGTATATGTGTTGAAGTCGGCTGATGGGGAAAGAAAGGTGACGATCAAGGAATGACCATGTGATTGAACAACATGGAGGGTCACTGGCAACAATGACAAGGGCAGTTATTTAATTAATTAATTTATTTGAGAGAGAGTCTTGCTCTGTCACCCAGGCTGGAGTGCAGTGGCATGATCTCAGCTCACTGCAACCTCGGCTTCCTGGGTTCAAGCGATTCTCGTGCCTCAGTCTCCAGAGTAGCTGGGATTATAGGCACCCACCACCACACCCGGCTAATTTTAGTATTTTTAGTAGAAACAGTGTTTCACCATGTTGGCCAGGCTGGTCTCAAACTCCTGACTTCAGGTGATCCACCACCTCAGCCTCCCAAAGTGCTGGGATTTCAGGCATGGGCCACTGCACCTGGCCTATTTTATTTGTTTTAATCCTTTTTTTTTTTTTTTGTAAGACAGGGTTTCACTATATTGGCCAGGCTGGTCTTGAACTCCTAACCTCAGGTGATCCACCCACCTCGGCCTCCCAAAGTGCTGAGATTACAGGCGTGAGCCACCACGCCCGGCCTGTTTTTATTCTTTATATATATTTTTAGAGATAGAGGTCTCACTATTTGCCTAGGGTGGTCTTAAACTCCTGGGCTCAAGCGATCCTCCCACCTTACTGTCTCAAAGTGCTGGGATTACCAGCATAAGCCACTGCACCTGACCAAGAGCAGGTCAGGGACAGCATATGAGAGGCAAAGCCCACCTGGACCAGTTTGAGACAATAGGAGAGAGAAACGATGCAGCCAATGTAGACAACTCTCTTTGTCTTGGCAGTACTTGGCGGTGCTTGGAGGTGGGTGCAGGATGAAGGGATGTGTGTTAAAGTGTTAAAATAACATATGATACTTACACTTACGATAGAGGTTGCCTGGGCGCAGCAGGAAGGGAGAAAAGTGTAATTGATGTTTAAAAGACTTTAAAATTTGGTAAAAATTTTACAGATATCTGTAAAATACATCAAAAGCACACACACACACATACATACACACACACACACACACACACACACACTGGTTTTTGTTTCTGTTTTGTTTTTTTGAGATGGAGTCTCACTCTGTCACCCAGGCTGGAGTGCAGAGGTGTAATCTCTACTCACTGCAACCTCCACCTCCTGGGTTCAAGCAATTCTCATGTCTTAGCCTCCCGAGTAGCTGGGACTACAGGCAAGCACCACCATGCCTGGCTAATTTTTGTATTTTTAGTAGAGACAGATCTTCAGCAAGTTGGCCAGGCTGGTCTTGAACTTTTGGCCTCAAGTGATCTGTCTGCATCAGCCTCCCAAAGTGCTGGGATTACAGGCATGAGCCACAGCACCTGGCCAGTTTTTTAAGAGATAGAGTCTTGCTATGTTGCCCAAGCTGGAGAGCAGTGGCATGATCATTGCTCACTGTAGCCTTGAACTTCTGGGCTCTAGTGATCCTCTGACCTCCCAGGTAGTAGAGACAACAGGTGCACACCACCATGCCTGGCTAATTTTCACATGATTTTGCCAGGCACAGTGGCTCATGTCTGTAATCTCAGCACTTTGGGAGGCTGAGGCAGGAGGACTGTTTGAGCCCAGGAGCTTAAGATCAACCTGGGCAACATAGCAAGACCTTGTCTCTACTAAAAGTAAAAATAAGAAAATTAGCTGGGGCTATTGGCATGCACCTGTACTCTTAGCTACTCAGGAAGCTGAGGTGGGAGGATGGCTGGAGCCCAAGAGTTTGAGGCTGCAGTGAGCTATGATCACACCACTACACTCTAACCTGGGTGGCAGAGTGAGACCTTCCTTAAAACACCACCACCACCAAAAACAACAACAAATAAATACATAAGTTATTTTGTAGACACAGTCTCCCATTATATTGCTTAGGCTGGTGTCGAACTCCTGGCTCAAATGATCCTCCCACTTTAGTCTCCTAAGGTGTTGGGATTACTGGAGTGAGCTATCGTGTCTAGCCAAAACATACATATATTATTGGAAGTAAATATAACAAACTGTTACAGCTGACAATTCTGAAAGTTGAAAATTTGGATGTTTGCTATTACCTTTATACTCTAAAATTTTCTTTTTAAATGTATTTTTATTTTATAAATATTATTATTATTATTAAAGACGGGGTTTGACCATATTGGTCAGGCTGGTCTTAAACTCCTGACCTCACGTGATCTGCCCACCTCAGCCTCCCAAAGTGCTGGGATTGCTGGTGTGAGCCACCACACCCAGCTTTAAAAATTTCTTATAAATAATTAGAGGGGGAAAAAAAAGGTTTGAGGGCCAAATTGTGTGCAGGATTTTGAGTGCCATGCTGGGATGGTGTATCTACCTATCTAAACAGGGGATGACCATGGCTCAAACAGCTCTTCCTGAAAGCTGTGTAGGCTGGGCGCAGTGGCTCAGGCCTGTAATTCCAGCACTTTGGGAGGCCGAGATGGGTGGATCACCTAAGGTCAGATGTTTGAGATCAGCCTGGCCAACATGATGAAACCCTGTCTCTACTAAAAATACAAAAAAAATTAGCTGGGCATGGTGGCAGGTGCTTGTTGTAATCCCAACTACTCAGGAAGCTGAGACAGGAGAATCACTTAAATCCAGGAGGCAGAGGCTGCAGTGAGCCAAGATCGTGCCACTGCAAGTGGACGACAAGAGCAAAACTTCATCTCAAAAGAAAAAAAGGTCAATCCTGGACCTGTCCCCTCAGGTCTGCTAAATTGTAACTTTTCCAGCATGGACACACACACACACACACACACACACACACACACACACGATGCTGACAGTGTGGAATGGGGCAGGTTTAGTAGAAAATGGAGGGTGAAGTTGATGGAGGTGCCTGTGGGTTATCCAGTCCGTGAACATTAGGGTGTCAAGTTTGCCGATGGGCGTTTACTGAATCCATTGTTGATTTTCCTTCAGTGGAAAGCACAGGCAGTTGCACATAGTAGGAATTCACTAAATGTTTATTGTAAAATTATGAACTTAGCTTGAAGGCAATTCACTGGATCCTAAATTCCAACTCCTTACCAACCTCCAAACTCTCTTCTAGTCGCCCAGGATATACATGATTTTTCATGGTAGCTATCAGCCTAGAGAACTGGGAAAAGTTTGGACTTCAGAGTTAGACAGACCTGCATCCAAATCTGACTCCTCTTCCCAGCTCTGTAGTCTCAGACAAGCAATTCACCTCTGGGAGCCTTGGTTTTCTCATGTGCAAATAATGTATGCTGTGATTCATTCACTCAGCAAATATTCATTGAGTACCAATATGCGCTGGGCATTGTTTTAGGTAGTAGGGAAAAAGTGATGGATGAGAGAGATGTGGTCCCTGCACTTGCTGGACCTCACATCCTGAAGGGAGAAAAATGCAGTTAAAAAAAAAGGTAATAAATAGGTGAATTATACAGTATGTGAGAAAGTGAAAAGTGCTATACAAAAAAAGATAAAAGGGCCAGGCGCAGTGGCTCACACCTATAATCCCAGCACTCTGGAAGGCAGAGGCAGGCGGATCACCTGGGGTCAGGAGTTTGAGACCAGCCTGGCCTGTCTCCACTAAAAAATACAAAAACTTTTGTGTTGGTATCGTGGCAGGTGCCTGTAATCCCAGCTACTCTGGAGGCTGAGGTAGGAGACTCGCTTGAACCTGGGAGGTAGAGGTTGCAGTGAGCCGAGATCACGGCATTGCCCTCCAGCTTGGGTGACAGAGCAAGACTCTGTCTCTTTTTTTTTTCTTTTTTTTTGAGACGGAGTCTTGCTCTGTCACCCTGGCTGGAGTGCAGTGGTGCAATCTCAGCTCACTGCAACCTCTGCCTCCCGGGTTCAAGCGATTCTCCTGCCTCAGCCTCCTGAGTAGGTGGGACTGCAGGTGCCCACCACCATGACCAGCTAATTTTTTTTTTTTTTTTGAGACGGAGTTTCGCTCTTGTTACCCAGGCTGGAGTGCAATGGCGAGATCTTGGCTCACCGCAACCTCCGCCTCCTGGGTTGAGGCAATTCTCCTGCCTCAGCCTCCCGAGTAGCTGGGACTACAGGCACGCGCCACCATGCCCAGCTAATTTTTTGTATTTTTAGTAGAGGCGGGGTTTCACCATGTTGACCAGGATGGTCTCAATCTCTTGACCTCGTGATCCACCCGCCTCGGTCTCCCAAAGTGCTGGGATTATAGGTGTGAGCCACTGCGCCTGGCCAACCAGCTAATTTCTGTATTTTTTTTTCTTAGTAGAGATGGGGTTTCACCATATTGGCCAGGCTGGTCTCGAACTCCTGACCTTGTGATCTGCCCGCGTTGGCCTCCCAAAGTGCTAGGATTACAGGTGTGAGCCACCGCGCCCAGCCTGACTCTTTCTCAAAAAAAAAAAAAAAAAAAAAAAAAGTAGGGGAAGGGGCTGGGTGGTAGTGGTGGTGACTGGGCAGAGGAAGCGTCACTATTACATAGGGTTATAATGTAGTAGACCATGTCAGGAAGCCAGATTCGCAGAAAGGCTTGAAGGAGGCCAGGTAACGAGTGGAGGGGATATCTGGGGAAGAGTGTTCCAGGCAGAAGGTATAGTAAGTGCTAAGGCCCCGAGGCAGAAGTGTTTCTGCCAGTGTTTGAGAAATAGCATGGAGGCAGTGGTGAAGTGAGTGCAGGGGTGACTGGAAGAAGGCTTTGCTGGGCTGTGACATTACAATGAAAGAAGGAGCAGCTGAGTGCAATGGCTCATGCTTGTAATCCCAACACTTTGGGAGGCTGAGGCAAGAAAATCAATCAAGACCAGGGGTTTGAAACCAGCCTGGGCAATATAGTAAGACCCTATTCTTACCAAAAATATTTTTAAAAATTAGCCAGTTGTGGTGACATGTGCCTGTAGTCCAAGCTGCTCAGGAGGGTGAGGCTGGAGGATCGGTTGAGCCCAGGAGTTTGAGGTTGCAGTGAGCTACGATGCCACCACTGCACTCTAGCACTCTGTCTCAAGAAACAAAATGAAGGAAATGAACTCAGTCACTGCGTGCTGACTATGTACCAGGAACCATGCTTGACATACATTGCCTTTTCATCCTTACAATAAGCCTTACAAAGCAAGTAATGTGACTTCATCCACCTTTCATACACATGAACACACTGAGAGACAGAAACAAAATGTGACTAGCTCATAATGCATGGCTAATAAGGGGCTGGGCAGATTCTTTCCTAGTGCCATGCATTATGTGCCATAAAACTACAAGCACTTCTGCCTGACCGGATCTAAAAAAAAAAAAAAAAAAAAAAAAAAAAACAAACACTTTTAGTGAAAGGAGTCAAGGAGGGGATTGAGGAGCAGACATGGTTTAAGCGGGGGGAGATGCCACCCAGAGCCCAGGCTTCCTGAGGCTGTCCTGGATCTGCAGGGGAAGGAGCTGCAGAGACCTGGCCTCTTTGAGTCAAAGGCACTGTGGGTCTGGAATGGTTAAAAAATGAGGACTTGGCCAGGTGTGGTGGTTCACGCCTGTAATCCCAGCACTTTGGGAGCCCAAGGCGGGCAGATCACAAGGTTAGGATCTCGAGACCAGCCTGACCAGCATGGTGAAGCCCTGTCTCCACTAAAAATACCAAAAGTTAGCTTGGCGTGGTGTCAGGTGCCTATAATCCCAGCAACTTGGGAGGCTGGGCAAGGAGAATCACTTGAACCTAGAAGACCGAGGTTGTATCGAGCCAAGATTGTGCCACTGCACTCCAGCCTGGGTGACAGAGCGAGACTCTGTCTTAAAAAAAATGACTTGCTTAGACATGGTTACAAATATTGCTATGTATTTTAACTGATTACCTTTAAGAAGATAAGGCTTTTAACATACTACACACAGCAATGTGATTTATTTACAGATATTAAATTCATAGCATGCTGCAGGTGGTGGTCTGATGGTGGGACCCATCTTACGGATGTGAGAGTCTGCTTTCTAGCCTGTCAATTGTCTCTGTGACTGAAGGCATAACTCATGTGGTCCCAACATGAAGTCTACTCTTGAGGTCCTCAGTGCATGTGAATAAATAGAATCATGGTAAATACATGTGGTACTTACTGGGGGCAGTGCTAAATGCTTTACGTACATTGGCTAATATCTTCATGAGAGCCCCATGAGGTTGACACTATTGTTGTCTCCCATTATGGAGGAAGAAGCTGCAGAACAGGGACTGATTTGCCCAGCAGGGTCTTTTTTTTTTTTTTTTGAGACAAAGTTTCACTTTTGTTGCCCAGGTTAGAGTACAATGGTGGGATCTCAGCTCACCACAACCTCTGCCTCCCAGGTTCAGGTGATTCTCCTCCTGCCTCAGCCTCTCAAGTAGATGGGATTACAGGCATGTGCCACCATGCCTGGCTAATTTTGTATTTTTAGTAGACACAGGGTTTCTCCATGTTGGTCAGGCTGGTCTCGAACTCCTGACCTTGGCCTGCCCAACTCCTGCCCACCTAGGCCTCCCAAAGTGTTGAGATTACAGGTGTGAGTCACCGCGCCTGGCCACCCAGGGTCTTAAGACTAGTCAGCGGTGGTACTGGTGCACTGAACGGAGAGAATGTGGCTACCCATGTTTGGCAGCTCCTGCATTTAGCTATTTATTATTCTATGCTTCCTGCCCAGGGCTGGGCCTTGGCCATCAGCAATCTCAGGTGGTTTCTCCCAAGGACTGTTTCCTGATATTGTCCTGTTGTTACAACCTTCTCCAGGCCATAGAGGACCTCAGGGTTGGCATTTCCTGGTTGTCCCGGGATCCACCACGTCCCAGACTGACACCCAAAGACTCACTGAGGCCTGAGTGAGGAAGAGTGAGAGAGTGGGGAGCACAGCAGCGAATGTTGCCTTCAAGACTGGGAAGAGGAGCAGTGTTAAGAAGAGGAGGCGAGAACGACCCCTGGACCGACCGAAGCCCACACGCCGCTGCATCCCGCGACCAGCGCCTACGTCCCATTGCCATCGCCACCATGCTCAAGAGAAAGGCTGAAGGGGATGCTGAAGGAGATAAAGCCAAGCTGAAGGACGAACCACAGAGAAGATCCGTGAGGTTTTCTGCTAAACCTGCTCCTCCAAAGCCAGAGCCCAAGCCTAAAAAGGCCCCTGCAAAGAAGGGAGAGAAGGTACCCAAAGGGAAAAAGGGAAAAGCTGATGCTGGCAGAAAGGGAATAACCCTGCAGAAAACGGAGATGCCAAAACAGACCAGGCACAGAAAGCCGAAGGTGCTGGAGATGCCAAGTGAAGTGTGTGCATTTTTGATAACTGTGTACTTCTGGTGACTGTACAGTCTGAAATACTATTTTTTATCAAGTTTTATAAAAATGCAGAATTCTGTTTTACCTTCTTTTTTTTTTTTAAGCTATGTTGTTAGCACACAGAACACTTCATTGTTGTTTTGGGAGAAGGGGCATATGTCACTAACAGAATGTCTCCAAAGCTGGATTGATGTGGGGAAACGACTTTCCCTTCTAGTTTTGAGAGACTTCCTCTTGGCTCCCAGGAGGAGGGATTCCCTGACTTTGACACACATGGCCACCTTGGCACACAAAAGCCTTGTGGTATGGAAAAACAAATTCGCTTTTATGTCCTCTTCTCCCTTTCCGTCTTTCAGCATAGACTTAACTCCCTTAAGCCCAGGCATCTGTTGGGACCTGACCCCCAGTCATTGGTTACCAGTGTGTCAGGCAATCCGGTCTTGCCAGTGATGCCACTGAGATGGCACCTGTTAAAAGAGCAGTGATTCCATTTCTAGATTGTGGATCTTCAGATAAATTCTGCCATTTTCATTTCACTTCCTGAAAGTCAGGGTCGGCTCGTGAAAAGTTGTTAAACAACGTGCTAAATGTGAAATGTCAACCCTCACTCTAAACTTTCCCTGTTCAGAGCATCAGATGAAGACTTCATTGGGTTTTATAGTGGCTTTCTGATTTTTGGTAGTCCATCAAAGAAGGGAGTTTGAAAGTTGTTGTATACTGTTAATGATTGTCTGCCCATGTCCTGCCTGAAATACCATGATTGTTTATGGAAAGTATCTTTAATAAAGCTGGATACAGTTTGGCTTGGAAATAAAAAAAAAGACTGGAAAGAACAGTAGGTCTTGGGCTTCTGGCCCCAGGGCACCTGTGGAAAGTCACTCCACCAGTCCCATCCTTTCCCTCTTTTCTTCTTTCTACTCAGAACCTGTGAAGTTTTGAAAGAGTGCTGGACTTAGGTGTTAGAAATCTGACTTAAGGCCGGGCGCGGTGGCGCATGCCTGTAGTCCCAGCTACTCGGGAGGCTGAGGTGGGAGGATCACTTGAGTCCAGGAGTTCTGGGCTGTAGTGTGCTATGCCAATCGGGTGTCCGCACTAAGTTCGGCATCAATATGGTGACCTCCCAGGAGCAGGGGACCACCAGGTGGCCTAAGGAGGGGTGAACCAGCCCAGGTCGGAAACGGAGCAGGTCAAAACTTCCGTGCTGATCAGTAGTGGGATCGCACCTGTGAATAGCCACTGCACTCCAGCCTGGGCAACGTAGCGAGACCCTCTCTCTAAAAAAAAAAAAAAAAAAGTAAATTAAAGTTTTCTTTAAAAAAAAAAATAAATAGAAAAAAAGAAACAAATCTGACTTAAGTCCTGGATATGCTTCTTTTTAAATTTTTTAATTTTATTTTATTGGCTCGCTGCTGCATCCTCTGCCTCCTAGGTTCAAGTGATTCTCCTGCCTCAACCTCCTGTGTAACTGGGATTACAGGCGCCCGCCACCACGCCCAGCTAATTTTTGTATTTTTAGTATATTTTTAGTAGAGATGGGGTTTCACCATGTTAGCCAGGCTGGTCTCAAAGCCCTGACCTCAAATGATCTGCCTGCCTCAGCCTCCCAAAGTGCTGGGATTACAGGTGTGAGCCACCATGCCAGGCATGGATCTGTATCATAATAGATGTGTGACCTTGGACAAATAGCTTTATGTCTCTGGGTCTTTGTCTATTTTATTTTTTGAGATAGAGTTTTGCTCTTGTTGCTCAGGCTGGAGTGCAATGGCACAATCTTGGCTCACTGTAACCTCTGCCTCCGAGGTTCAAGCAATTCTCCTGCCTCAGCCTCCCAAGTAGCTGGGATTACAGGCATGCACCACCATGCCCGGCTAATTTTGTATTTTTAGTAGAGACGGGGTTTCACCGTATTGGCCAGGCTGGTCATAAACTCCTGACGTTAGGTGATCCACCTATCTTGTCCACGCCCAGCCTGGGATTAGGGCGTGAGCCACCACGCCCAGCCTCCCAGGATTTGGATCATTGATAAACCTGGGGCACTTGGTTGTGAACCGTAAAGGGCTGAACACTTGTGAGGCATTATTGTTATTATTCTGATCCTTGCTCTAAATGATCTTTGGTTACTTCCATTATAGCTGATGTTCTTTCATTTGCTCCCAGATGACACAAGGCCGCTGCCCTTTTCTGAAGGCTCTTTTGTCATTTCCCAGGTGGCTGGAACTTGTAGCTGGAGAATGTGAGGTACAGAGAACTCAGTTTAGGCATGAGATTATTAAAAAGAGAGAGAGAGAACTCAGTTTAATGTCGCCCCCCTCAGTTACTATCATATCACTCTATTATTGATTAATTATTTAATTAATTTATTTATTTTGAGTTAGAGTCTCACTCTGTCACCCAGGCTGGAGTGCAGTGGCATGATCTCGGCTCACTGCAACCTCCACCTCCCAGGTTCAAGCGATTCTCCTACCTCAGGCTCCCGAGTAGCTAGGATTACAGGTGCATGCCACCATGCCCGGCTAATTTTTGTATTTTTAGTAGAGACAGGGTTTCACCATGGTGGCCAGGCTAGTCTCAAACTCCTGACCTTGTGACCCATTTGCCTTGGCTTCCCAAAATGCTGGGCTTATAGGCATGAGCCACCGTACCTGACCAATTATTTTATTTTAAAATTTATTTATTTATTTATTTTGAGACAGAGTCTCTCTGTCACCCAGGGTGGAGTGCTGTGGCACAATCTCGGCTCACTGCAACCTCCAAGGGATTCAAGGGAGTCTCCCACCTTAGCCTTCTGAGTAGCTGGGTGGGACTATAGCCATGCGCCACCACCCCCAGACAAATTTGTATTTTTTGGTAGAGACAAGGTTTCACCATGCTGGCCAGGCTGGTCTCGAACTCGTGACCTCAAGTGATCCACCTGCCTCAGCCTCCCACAGTGCTGGAATTACAGGTGTGTGTCACCATGCACAGCCTAATTAATATTTAGAAATGGGTCTCATTATGTTTCCCAGGCTGGAGTGCAGTGGCTATGTCACAGGCACAATCACAGTGCTTTATAGCTTCGAATTCCTGGGCTCAGGTGATTCTCCTGCCTCAGCCTCCCAAGTAACTGGGACTATAGGTGCATACCACTGCACCTGGGTATTATTATTTTATTTCATTTATTTGTTTTAGAGGCAGGATCTCATTATGCTGCCCAGGCTGCTCTTAAACTCCTGGTCTCAGTGATAACTCCCATCTCAGCCTCCTGAGTTGTTGAGGTTATAGGCATGAGCCACTGCTCCCAGCTTATTATTATTTCAATATATTTTTTCGTGAAAGGATAGCATACCTAGAAAAAAGTACACACATCATGAGTCTTCAGTGAGTTATCACAAAACAACTACGTCGGTGTAACCTTTGTAGCTGTCACCCAGTAAAGAAATAGAACATTACCATCATTCTAGAAGCCCTCACTGTGGCCACATGATGCCCCCTCCCAATTCCTACCACTTCCTTCCTCCCTCTGGCTTATCTCTGTATTGCCAAAGCCCAGCATACAGCCCTGTCAAGAGGCCCAGTAAACATTTGTTAAACTAAACTGAACGAAAAGCACTTGTGATGTGACCTTGAGCTAGACACTTTGTGTTGGCCTTAATATACTCTTCTGCAAAACAGGGACAGCATTTCAGTGATTTCAATACTGCCCAACCCTAGTTGTACATCAGTCTTTGAAAAAAATACTTGGGCACTACCCCGAAGCAACTGAATCTAAATCTCTGAGGGTGGATCCTAAGCAATGGTATTTCACAAAAGCTTATTATTATTATTGACAGGGTCTCCCTCTGTTGCTCAGGCTAGAGTGCTGTGATGCAATCATAACTCATTATAGTCTCGAACTCCTAGGTTCAAACAATACTCCCACCTCAGCCTCCCAAGTGGCTAGAACTACAGGTGCATGCCACCATGCCCAGCTAATTTTATCAGACGATGGTTGTTTTTAAAAAGCTTTCCAGTGATTCCATTGTATAGCCATTATTCCTTGAACCTCACCAATTTCAAACAAATCATAGGTTCAGATTTAAGTTCCACTACTTAAACCATGCCACTGTTTTGGGTTGAATTGTGTCCCTGCAAAAGAAGTTGGAAGTCCTAATGTCCAGTGCCTGAGAACATGGACTAATTGGGATGGAATCTTTGAAGATGATCAGGTTAAGATGAAGTCATTAGGTTGGATTCCTAATCCAATGACTAGTGTCCTTATAAAAAGGGGAAATCTGGCCAGGCATGGTGCCTCACCCCTGTAATCCCAGCATTTTGGGAGGTCAACACAGGTGGATCACCTGAGGTCAGGAGTTCCAGACCAGCCTGACCAACATGGTGAAACCCCATCTCTATTAAAAATCCCATCTCTATTTTAAAAACCCCATGTCTATTATACAAGCTGGCGCCTGTAATCCCAGCTACTCGGGAGGCTGAGGAAGGAGAATTGCTTGAATCCAGGAGGCAGAGGTGGCAGTGAGCTGAGATCACACCTGGAGAACAAGAAGGAGACTCTGACTCAGAAAAAAAAGTGGGGGCGGGGAATCTGGACCCAGAGACGGAGACACAGAGAGAACTCCCTGGAATACCAGACATTCCCTGCAAACCACCAGAAGATAGGAGAACGGCATGGGACAGATTCTCCCTCACAGCCCTCAGCAGAAACCAACCCTGCCAACACCTAGATCCGACCTCCAGCCTCCAGAACTGTGAGACAATCAATTCCTGTTGTTGCAGCCACCCAGTTAGTGGTACTTTGTTACGGCAGCCCTAGTAAAGGACACAATTACTTACATAGTAGCCAGGGGCCTCTCTTCACCTGTTTACTCGTCTGTAAAGCTGAAATTGTAATCATGTGCCAGGGTGCATTCCAAATACTTTACACGGATGTCTCAGTCATCACATCGTCCCTTTGACATAGGCAGTACTACTATCTCCCCTTAACAGACGAGAAAGTTATGAAACAGAGAGGTTAAGTAACTTGCTCAAGGTCACACGGTAACTAAATACATAAACAATATATTCTTCACAGGATTATTGGAAAGCCTTTATGAGACTGCAGATGTGGACGTGAAAGCGTTTTGTAAGTAGTTGGCATTTTACCTGCGTTAGTGAGGATCTCTTTTTTTTTTTTTTTTTTTTTGTCATCTCTGACTCTCCTTCCTCTTCCTACACGATACTTCCTTCCCTCAGCGACAGGGGCCGCTGCGCTGCGCGGGCGCGGACGGTCTCTCTAGCCCGTCGCGCCGGCTGCTCATTGGTGCCTATAAGTGGCAGCGCCGGGCTCAGCGAGGCTTCAGTCCACTGCCGCCGGGGCCGGGGCCGGGGTTAGTGCTGGAGCCGGACCAGGAGGAGCTGCAGCTGGGCCGGGGCGGAGCGCTCCGCCGCGCCGGGGCCGAAAGGAGGGGCGTGTTGCTGCTGGCCCACCGCGAGTCGCCCCAGCCCCCGCCGAGGCGCCTTCCCGCCAGGCCGCCTGCCTCCGACCTTCCGCCTCTCTCCATTTCCCCGGAATCTCAGCCCGGTGCGCCTGGACCCCTGCCCTTCTTTGGGTGGACAAGCTCCCGGCCGCTTCCCGGTTTCACTCCTTTGCACCCTGGGTTCCCAGCTCCCTCTCTGCTTTTCCTGGACTGGGTCTCACCCCCTTTGGTCCCCTTCCTTTAGCTCAGGCTTTCTACCGCTTCCCTCAGCCCAGAGTCCCAGCTGCTCAGTCACTTTCCTCAGCCAAAGGTCCCAGCCTCCCCTCTTCCTTTCCCTTGCACGGGTCCAGCCTATCCTGCCCTTTCCTCTATACCTAGGGCTCAGTTTCCCGCATCCCTCCTCCCTTCCTCCCAGGCCCGGAGTTCCAGACCTTTTGATCTCCTTCCGTGGTCTTTCCTGGGTCCTTGTCTCCTTTCTCCACTTTAGAGTTCCAGATTGCAAACCCAGCCTCCCTCCACCCCCAGAAAATTGATTCCGCGGAAATGCCTCTCTAAAACATGAACTTTTCCTAGAGACTGCGTTAGTCTGTTTTCCCACTTGCTGACCCCTTGCTACGTATGTGCCGGGTTTTACTCTCACTTGGCTAAGGTCGAGGCCGGCTCAGGAAGCACCACCATGCTTCTGTGGTCTGGCATCTATGGCCTCTCTCCACCTCGGATCTTCCCTTCCTTGCTCGTGGTGGTTGCTTTGGTGGGGCTCCTACCTGTTCTCAGGAGCCATGGCCTCCAGCTCAGCCCAACTGCCAGCACCATTCGAAGTTCAGAGCCACCGCGGGAACGCTCGATTGGGGATGTCACCACCGCCCCACCGGAGGTCACCCCAGAGAGCCGCCCTGTTAATCATTCCGTCACTGATCATGGCATGAAGCCGCGCAAGGCCTTTCCAGTCCTGGGCATCGATTACACACACGTGCGCACCCCCTTTGAGATCTCCCTCTGGATCCTTCTGGCCTGCCTCATGAAGATAGGTAAGTCCTGTTCGCTCCGATGCTGCGGTCGTCACCAGACTGGTGAGCTTGCCCCATCTCACACCATTTGGGGCTGTCCAGGAATAAGTATCTGAACTACCCCCATAAGGTAGGCCAGTCTCCATACTGCCATCTTGGTCCTTCTAAAGCTCCAGCTTTGTGGCCTCTGATCTGTGACCTGAGGCTTCCCCAGATTGGAGCCAGCACTGTGCACAGAAAAGAGCAGGATTAGAGATGGGATGCTTCCTATCCTGGGTTCCTTCAGTAAGGCTTCCACGACTGGCAAGTCTCCTCTGGCTGGACCAGACTCCCAGGGGAGCCAGGCACCCTGCTGTGTGTGAGACAGAAAGGAGTGTCTTCTGGTGAGTGGCACATTCTGCTCTGTCAACAGCAACCAGTGCAATTTATGACAGGCTTCACTGGAGTGTGTTCCAGGATGGGGTATATTTCTACTTGGCCTGCTTGAGGAGTTTGAGCATAGTGGAGACCTGAACACAGGAAACTTACAAGTGTGGTGGAACACAGGGGATCCCCATATTCTCACCTTTCCTTCATCTCCAGAATGTTATCTGTCAGCTTTGCCTGCTCAGGCTGGTTAGGAGCCCCTGAGTCAGTTTCCGGCCCAGGAATGCCATACTTTATACAATCTGTGGGACAATTTCTGAAGTCTGTTTTGGGAGTCGAGGGAGAGTAGAGGAGGTTGAGGCTTGGTCTGAGCCCAGCTCGCCCCCAGGTTGCTGCCTGGCTGTGTCTCAGGTTGTCTTCTGGCCTGCTGCTCAATTAAGTAGGTGAGGTATAGGGGGAGGGCCTGTGGATGTTCAAGCCTAAAGAAACTTAGAAACCTTCTTTTGGGGAGAACGAAACAGAAAAGTTATTCCCTCTCAGAGTGTTGGTCTCCCTGCTAGGCCTGAGCACCCTGTTTTGCTGAGTGGGGGAGTTCACTGGAGCCTACATAGCCCAGAAGTCCCTGGAAGTGGTGTCCAGGGGACTTTGAAGGCTGCCTTTGCATTTTCAGCTTGCTCCCAGCTGTCTGTGGAAGGCATGAGATCCTGGGACTTGCTGTCCCCTTTGCCTGAGATTTAGGTTTGGAGATTTGGCAGGAAACCTTCCAACTCTCTCAAGGACATGGAGGAGTTGAGTGGTGCTGCCGGGCTGGTGTGAGCAGGCTCTGGGACATGCTGCAGGAGGGAAGTAGTGCCTCTGATTCGATAGATCCAGGAGCTGGGTTCCTGGTGACGGGCTCTTGTGCCAAACTGGTCACAGTAGCAGAGCCTTACGTGGAACTAAGCCATCAGTACCTATACCCTGATGGCAGTTAGCTTCCTGGAGAAAAATCAAGGACTGGACAAGGGGAATCATGTGTACTGATTCCGACATAAATGCATGACCTTGAATAGCTGAGGCCTTTTTCTGCAGGTCTCCCTCACCTGTGAAATGGGTAAGACTCTCAATTTGACCATATCAATTAAGTCATGAAACATCATCTTATTTGCTGTAAGAAGCTGAAGTAACAGTGATGTCATTTGACTGTGTGAGACCAGGAGGAGACCTCACAAGTGCTATATATAAATTGCCTCCTGTCTCCGATCCCCTCACCTCCCCACCACACCTGGCATTATATTCGGGCATTCAGGGCTGGCAGGCACTCTTTGAGTCTCCATGCCTGCTGCTGGGACGACTGCATGACCACAGACTCCACTCTAGGCAGTCAGAAGTTTGTCCCTGCAGGCCTGATATCTCTAGTGCTAATGAGGTCAGCTTGGCCTGGCCTGCTTTGCCACCACCCAAGTGCTGTGCCCAGGACCCTGGGCAGCTGGAGTGCAGAGATGGTGCCATGGCAACTGTATCAGTCTAGAAGTCGGGAAAACCTGGCTTTTCTTCCCACCTCCCTCTGTCCTTGGACCAGCCACACCTCCCTACCCATCAGTTGATCTTCATGGTCCCTTCCAGGTGTGATATTTCTGTCATTCCACTGACTCTGGAAACTCTGGCAAGTCACTTAGCCTTGGGCCTCAGTTTTCCCATCGTAAAATGATGAGGCTGGACGTGGTCTCCTTTCCAAAAGTCTGTTTCTGCCTCTGAAAACAGGAGTTCTAGCCATGAGTGGAGAGAAAGGCGGCCAGAAGATCTGAAGAGTCCCTGTCCAGGCCACAAAAATGAAAGCCCATTTCCCTAGCTTCGCCTTTGCAGTGTAGAATTAAGCTACCACTCTGCCAGTTTGCAGTCTCTCTGAGCCTTAGTTTCCTCATGTATAAAATGGGAACTAAGCAGGGCACAGTGGCTCATGCCTGTAATCCCAGCACTTTGGGAGGCTGAGGTGGGTGGATCGCTTGATGGGGTCAGGAGTTTGAGACCAGCCTGGCCAATATAGTGAAACCCCGTTGCTACTAAAAATACAAAAAATTAGCTGGGCGTGGTGGTGGACACTTGTAATCCTAGTTACTCGAGAGGCTGAGGCAAAGGAATTGCTTGAATCTGGGAGACAGAGGTTGCAGTGAGCCAAGATCGCGCCATTGCACTCCAGCCTGGGCAACAAGAGGGAAATTCTGTCCCCCGCCCCAAAAATCATAAAATGAGAACTACAAGTATCCAGTTATAGTGCTATTAATGTGATGACCAAATAAATCAATGCACATAAAATCGAGTTCATGGCCGGGTGCTGTGGTTCACGCCTGTAATCCTAGCACTTTGGGAGGCTGAGATGGGTGAATCACCTGAGGTCAGGAGTTTGAGACCAGCGTGACAAACATGGAGAAACCCCATCTCTTTAAAAGAAAAAAAAAAAGTTAAAAAAATTTGAGTTTATATATACAGGAAGTGTTCAATGAGTGGCAGCTGCCCCTGTTAATATTTTAACCTCCTACGCAAATGTATTGCTACCTCAGCCTCCTACAACCTTCCTCTGAGCTGAAGGATTACAACTCTTTCAAACCTAGGCTGCCACTGGTATCCTTCCTTAAGGTTTCAGGGTTTCCATGTGTCCTGTTCTGTTCACTTGAGCTGGTCGTGGCGGGAGGGAAGATGGCACCAGCTGCCTTGTGGGATAGTGGTGGGGACTGAGGCCATGCTCCCTCTGTACTTTCTGATACCCAAGAGCCTGGGAGCTTATTTTGGGGTCTTGCCTATTCTCTCAACACCCCAGCGTGGGTAGGAGTTACATTGGAGCCCTCATTCTGTCATCTATGGCAGCTGCTTCCCTTGCAGGTTACCCTCCTTTAAGAATAGAACGTGCTTTGTGCAGTTCTCCTTCCTACCCTAACCATGGAGCAGAGTCTCAGGTAGACTCTTGCAGAGACTGGGGTGGGAGGAGCAGGGTGGGAGCTGAAGTTCTAGAATAATTGCTTCTGGGTTCTAGTCTACCTCTGACAGGGGGTGACATTAGGCAAGTCACCTTCCTTCTCTGGGCCTCTTTTCTCTCCCCAACAGTAAGAAATTCTTGCTTTTCCTTAGTGGGGAGGGGCTGGTGGTATGAAGGGGATTTCGCCTATTGGGAAAACTATGGGGATCAGTCAAGCCTTAGGGGTTATGTGCATTCCCCACCCCACATTGTGCTTTGGACCTTACAGGAACTCTGTTTTGTTCTGAGTTCACCTGACTCCCAGGCTAATACTTGTTCCAAGGGAGAGCCTCACTGTAACCCAGCTCACCACTGGCATCTCCTGCATTTGTTTACCCGTGTTCCTAACCCAGAATGCCTGGCAGAGGCCCGGGAGCCCATAAAGCAGGTATTCATCTTGTCTCCTGACCAGGGACACAAAAGACTTCTTTTGTCCCTTTACATCTTAGAGCTTTTTTTGGTTTTGGTCTTTGCAAGGTGAATCCTGCCATCTCCTCTGTAGAACAAATCTGTGAATGGGGAGATGGGGTCACTGCCCACTTCACGTGCATGGATATCAGACCCAGCAACTGGTTTCCTGTAAGAATGACACTAGAAGGTGTCTCTCACTTCTCAAAAGAAGAGAAGAACAAATAGCTTGAAGGTCACCTTGAAACTGTCTCAAGAAGCCCAGGTGGGACTCTGAAAAGAAAGAGAAGACCTTTTTCTTTTTGGGAAAATAGCAAATTGACTGCAGAACAGTGGGAGGGAGGTCAGCTGGGGACTGGGAGGAAGGCTTCAGGTAGGACACGTGTCTCTAGGAGTGCCAAGCCACTTAGAGGGCTGAGTTGGTCAGACTGCCCAGACTTCATTTAGCTGAGCCCCCACAAAGCTTCCCTTTCCTCTCCTTCCCAGCCAGCCCCCTAGCGTCCAGCCCTGTTATAAAGGAAAGACATGCTCAGAAGCCCTGGCTTCTGCTCCTGACACTGACTCTCGGTACCTGTGTGACCATGAACCTTGAAGTTCGTGCACCTCATTCTCTGAACCTGACTTGCCTCATCCTTAAGACCAATGTAGAAGCTGAACCTGGGTGCCTGGTAGAGTGCCCAACTCACTGTAGTAACTTTCAGGGCCATGCAGATTCTTCTCCTTTTGGGAGGTCTTCCCAGCCCATAGCAGTCACTTTCTCTTTCTCCCCCAAACCCTTTTCCCTTATTGTTTATCCATGACATTGGCATTAGGACTTGCATGCCTTGTGACATCTCCTGTGTTGAATGTGTGTGTGTGTGTATTTTAATAATAGTTGCCACTTGGTATCTACAGAGTAGTGTCAGGCACTTTATAAAAGCAATCTTATTTAATCCCTACTCAAATCATATGAGATAAAAGCTGTCTCTGTTTTGCAGATGAGGAAATGGCTCAGAGAGGTTATCTTCAGTGATGTTGAATTGCTATTTATTTTCTGTTCAAGTCTTGGCATAGCTTCCTAGAGGGGTGCAGCTGCATCTCCTGCCTCTGGCATTCCCCGCAGCAGATGCACACAGCTCTGCACTGAGAAGCACCCAGCTCACTGCACCTGCACTCAGGAATTGTAGGACTCCCTCTAAGAGTTGGGCACATGTCATTAGTGGGAGCCCTGTCTCTGTCCCTGCCTAGAGAAAGCTGTAGGTGCTCTGTGTCTGGCTGTGCGCCTGTCCTTTGTTCCTGTGAGTCACCTTGGATGCACCTGAATCCTGCAGGATTCAGATAGGGCCTATCCCTTGTTCTCTGCTAGTGACCCTCCCTGACATCTCTCTGCCAGTGCCCTCTCAGCCATCAGACCAGAGCTTGAGTCGTCCCTGCTTGGGCAGGGGAGTGCCAGGTAAAGGGTGGTTTCCTTTAGCCACAAGGGGTAACTGACCTTATGACCTCCTGCCTCTGAGCAGAAAAGGTGACAGACTGCTTTTGGTTACCCTCAGGGCCCAGCAGAATCCCCTGAGAGGCAGCTTCTGTTAGGAGCAGGTGGCACAACTTTGTTAAGCTCTACAAGGTAGGAGGAGTTTAATAGTATTTCTCATTAGTACTGAAATTTGTTTCCAAAGCACTTTCGTGTACAATGTTTAAGTTAGATCTCCTTAGTAGTCCTGTGGGTTAGAACAACATGTGATATTGATCATTTTACATCTAAGGAAACCGAGCCTTTGATTGTGACCTGCCTGAGGTCACTTAGGAAGACTGAGACTAATCACTTAAGGCCAAACTTTCTCCTGCCAGGCCAACATCCTGGGTTCGTGTTGAATCAAGGGGGGTCAGAGATTTATTTATTATTTATTTATTTATTTTAAAAGATGGGGTTTCACCATGATGGCCAGGCTGATCTTGAACTCCTGACCTCAGGTAATCCACCCACCTTGGCCTCCCAAAGTGCTAGGATTACAGGTGTGAGCCACCGCGCCTGGCTTTATTTTTATTTTTTGAGATGGAGTCTCACTCTGTCGCCCAGGCTGGAGTGCAGTTGCACAATCTCAGCTCACTGCAACCTCTGCCTCCCAGGTTCAAGCACTTCTCTGCCTCAGCCTCCCGAGTAGCTAAGATTACAGGTGCCCACCACCACGCCTGGCTAATTTTTTTGTATTTTTAGTAAAGACGAGGTTTCACCATCTTGACCAGGTTGGTCTTGAACTACTGACCTTGTGATCCACTCGCCTCAGCCTCCCAAAGTGCTCAGATTACAGGTGTGAACCACTGCATCAGGCAGGATGAGAGATTTAAAGGGCCTTTGAGGGGAGTAAATGAGCCGACACATCCACATTGGTAACCTGGATGATTGTCAGGAGGGACACCAGTTCCTCCAGTAGGAAGAAAGGCCTGAAGGGTCTGGGTGGTCTGGAGCCCTGACAGCTTTGGCTCAGCTCCAGGTTCTTTTCTACACCTTGAACATACCTGTATTTGCATGAAGGAGGATGAGGGCCAGAGTGGCACTGGGGACTGTCATTCTCATAGCCCTTGTCTATGAAGAGGCAAATCTTTGAAATGGAAGACTTGTCCTTTCCCCCAAAATGTTGTATGCCCTCTGGGAGAGAAAAGGAGAGGCAGAGAAGTGATTACAATGAAAAATACGCAGGATGGGGTGGAAGGTCAATAGACCTGAAGTCTAGTCTCAGCTCTCTGCTGCCCAGTTGTGTGACTCTGGGCAAGGCACAACCTCTCTGAGCCCCTTTTTTTTTGAGATGGAGTTTTGCTATTGTTACCCAGGCTGGAGTGCAGTGGCACAATCTCAGCTCACTGCAACCTCTGCCTCTTGGGTTCTAGCAATTCTCCTACCTCAGCCTCCCGAGTAGCAGGGACTATAGACATGCGCCACCACACCCAGCTTATTTTGTATTTTTAGTAGGGATGGGGTTTGCCATGTTCGTCAGGCTGGTCTTGAACTCCTGACCTCAGGTGATCTGCCTACCTTGGCCTCCCAAAGTGCTGGGATTACAGTGTGAGCCACCATACCCAGTCTGAGCCCCTGTTTTCTAATTCATAATATAGATATTTAATTTTTAGATTTTTTTTTTTTTGCAGTGGGGTCTTGCAACATTGTTGTCCAGGCTGGTCTTGAATCCCTAGCCTCAAATGACCCTCTTGCCTTAGTTTCCTGAGTAGCTGGGATTACAGGCGTGAGCTGTCACACCTAGCTCCCTATTATTTTATTTTTATTTTTATTTTTTTGGGACAGAGTCTCACTCTTCTCACCCAGGCTGGAGTGCAGTGGTGTGATCTTGGCTCACTGCAACCTCCTTCTCCCAGATTCAAGAGATTCTTCTGCTTCAGCCTCCTGAGTGACTGGAATTATAGGCACCCGCTATCACGCCTGGCTAATTTTTTTTTTTTTTTTTTTTTTTGCAGAGATGGGTTTTCACCATGTTGGCCAGGCTGGTCTTGAACTCTTGATCCCAGGTGATCCTCCTGCCTCAGCCTCCTAAAATGCTGGGATTACAGGCATGAGCCACTGCACCTGGCCTAATTTTTGTATTTTTAGTGGGATCGGGGTTTTGCCATGTTGGCCAGGCTGGTCTCGAACTCCTGACCAGGCAATCTACCCACCTCAGCCTCCCAAAGTGCTGTGATTACAGGTGTGAGCCACTGCACCAGGCTGGTAATTGGTGATATTTTTATTACATACTTGTTAATTATATTAGCTGCCACTTATTAATTTTTTATTTTATGTATTTTTGAGATGGATTTCATCTACCTCTCAGGCTGGAGTGCAGTGGTGCAATCATGGCTCACTGCAGCTTCAACCTCCCAGGCTCAGGCAATTCCCCAACTTCAGCCTCCTGAGTAGTTGGGAACACAGGCACAGGCCACCACACTCAGCTAAGCTGTCACTTATTTATATCCTAGTTTAGAGGCCGTGAAAGGTATTCACACAGCTAGAAAACACTGAGGTTTAAGCCCAGATCTGTCTGACTTCAGCACCTACGTTCTTTTCATCCTCATGCCCTGATTCCAAGGCCTTTTCAGTTTAGAAATTTAATTTTTCCTGTAATCACTTTGAACTGGGGAGATTTAAAGGCTTTAGTATTTTGAACTTTGGCTGCTTTCTGTGGATCACATCTTGGGTTTGGGGAAAAAGCTGACCCCCCTCCAAGTCCCCCCAAGCAAATAACCTTTCTCAGAGATGGCAGCATGCAGAAAAACACAGGAGTGACAGGGAACTGGAGCTGGTGGCCTGAGGCTCCCTCTGGGAATGCCAGCCCATACACAGCCCCCTTTCCTCTTCACTGCCTCTCCCACCTGCCCCCTTTCCTCCTGAGCAGGGAGAGAAGGCTCGCTCAGCAAAGCCAGGACCTGGGTTATTCCTGAGTCATCCATCGCTTCTGTGGGCCTCATTTTGCAGCACTCGCTCCCCCTGCAAACGTCTGAGTCAGACATGTCTCCCCAAGGTTGTCTGCACACACTGCACTGGGCCAAACCGTCTCTTTAGATGCTGATAAACATCAACTGATACTTTAAAGCAGCCCGTGATTATATGTGGGTATTTTAATCTTATGGGCTAATCTAATTTTAACTGAACTAAGTTTTGGGTTGGGCCTGGATCAGTAGGCTGCCCCGCTTCCCTGGGATAGTGCTGACTTCATTTTCTTACCCTTAAAGCTCATCTGATATACAGGGCCGGTTTGGGGATCTATTAGGCTAGACCTGAGTCCTGGGTTCTTATACTACTTGCCGAGAATCTGGAGCTCCCCCAAATTACCCCAGCAAGTTCTTTCCTGAAAAGATATGTCCTTAAGCAGCACTAACTGAGATTCAGGATGAGAAACTCTGTTCCTTCCCAGGCCCCCTTCCTTGTCCCTTGGGGAGCACTTACCCTAAGTCTAGACTGGCCTTTCCACAGTGCTGAGCCTATTTGAGACCAGGCCACAGAAGGCGGAGGAGTGATGTCACAGTTTTGTGTTAGAGCCCACAAGTTCACTAAACTAATAAATAGCTAACACTTGCATAGCATTTGCCATATGCCAAGTGAAGTTGGAAGAGGCAGTGTCTTTGCACCGGCCAGCCAGTACCAAGAGCAGCTTGCTAAGATCCTGGGTGGAAGAGGCAGGTCAGCTGAAATCAGCCGGCAGGCATTTAGCATTTGGCCATCAGGGAACAAAGAAGAGTAGACCCAGGTTCTGCTCTTTAGGAGCTTCCAGCCTGCCAGGGCTGGGCAGACTCCTGGCAGAGGCAAAGTGCAGAGGGAGTGAGCAGTCCCTGAGGACTGGGATGTTTAGAGAAGGCCTCCCAAAGGAGGTAGAACATGAATCTGAGACTTGAAGGATAGAAAGGAATTAGATAAGCAGGCTATACTTAGGACTGATTCCTGTAAGAATCTAAGCCTCTTGAGGACAGGACCTTTGTTGACTTTTTTGTGTGTGTGTGATGGGGTCTTGGCTGTCTCACTTGGGTTGGAGTGCTGGAGTGCAGAGGCGTAATCTCAGCTCACTGCAACCTCTGCTTCCCAGGTTCAGGCAGTTCTCCTGCCTCAGCCTCCTGAGTAGCTGGGATTACTGGCACACATCACCATGCCCAGCTAATCTTTTGTATTTTTAGTAGAAACTAAATTTTTTTTACTATGTTGGCCAATCTGGTCTCAAACTCCTGACCTCAGATGATCTGCCTACCTCACCCTCCCAAAGTGCTGGGATTATAGGTGTGAGCCACCACGCCCAGCCTGTTCACTTTCTTGTCTGTTCCTGGCACAGAGTAAGGGCTTCATAAATATTTGAGGAAGGAATAAATGAATGAATATGTGATTGACTCCAGTGTAATGATAGGATCTCTGCAAAGCCCTGGGGCAGACAAGAAACCAGTTTGACTGCTCAGAGAGAAGGGAAAGCAAAGGTTGCAGAGGCTCCTTGGCACCAGACTGAATGCCAAGCCAGGGAGTTTAACTGAGCTTGCTGGGAGTGACATTCACAGAATGATGCCTTAGGCGCCAGGCAGTGTTTTAAGTGGTACTGCCGTGGCTACCTCCCTAGCATGGCTCTAATGTAGGGTCTGCAAGGGCATCCTCTCTGGGCTGGGCGGGATCTCTCTGGGAAGATCTGGATCTGTTTGGTCTGCCCTCAATTTATGTAAGTAAAAGCAAGATACCAGAGCTTCCTTGGGGAGCTGCCGAGAGCCCTAATTGAATTAAGCTTTTCCTGAGAAGATTCCTCAAGCCATAAACTGCTCTGTGACTGTGAATTAATGAGACCAGTGGCTGTAAACCATACAAGAAGGCAATCTTGTTAATTTATAGTTGTACCTGGACACGGGTTTACTTATGGCTTCTCTTTGCTTTTATGTGTGTTAGGAATGGGTGGGCTGGGCCCGAGTCTCCTTTCTTTGGCAGATTTATTTTTATAATATGAATAAATAAAAGATGTTAATGGTAAAAACAAAACAAACCCCAAAACAACAAAAATAAAACCCAACAGTACAGAGGGTATTGAGGTGAAAAGGAAAAGTCTCCCTCATCACTTCTCTGACCACCTGCACTGTCATACATTCCAGAGGTTACCACTGTTAACTGTCTTGTCCATCTTTTTAGAAATTCGCCATGCATATATTGAGCATGTGAGTGTGTGTGCATGCAGGGCACATTTAGTTTTCATAAAGCCATTGTGTAAAAGAAAAGAGCTCTAGGCTGGGAACTGGGAACCTGGATCCTAGTCCTGGCTCACTTCTTTCTTGCATATTGACCTTTGCTAAGCCATGTTTGCCTTCCTGGGCCTTAGTTTCCCTATCTGTCTATTTCATTTGGAAGGGCTTTCTGGGGTTGTCCTGTGGGAAGGGCAGTCATTACAAGGTTGAAGAAATGAGCCCACAGGGAACCAGCTCTCTTGTGGGGGAGGTGAGACAACATGCAAGAGAGAAAGCACAGGTAGGGAATTGTGTGGTCCAGGCAGGGATGCTTGGGGGAATCAGGAGAGGAGGAGAGATGAGGGAAGCTACTTGAAGGAGGTGGCCTTGAGAGGCGGGCCAGGGTAGAAGGGGAACATCATTCAGGGAGGTTGCTAAGGGATTCTGGGTTAGTTGAGAGGATGGACTGGATGCTATGTTCTTTTAGGATCTAGGTTTCTAAGATTGTTTCTGAGTCCATGATGAAGTTTGTGGAACTCCCAAAATAGTCTGCAGACAGTTGTATATGTGTGATTTTATCAAGGAGAGAAGGCCCATAGTAGACTTGGATTTTTTTTTTTTTTTTAAACATAGTTGATTGTCAGTGTGTAAGCCACAGATTTTGAAGGTTAAGAGCTTCTGCCTTTTGTGCTGTGGGGATTTGAAGAAGGGAAAAGGACTAACTGGTCTGGGATGAATCCTTGGAGGAAGTGGTACTTAATTCTGGGATGAGTGGGGTTTGCCTGGGGGACTGCAGGTTTCTTCCAGGCAAGGAGAAGGACCCCAGAGAGAGGAAGCTGTGTTCTGTAAGAAGGGAAGGGAAAACGAGCCTTAAAGTAGAGAGGAACTGGCTGGGTGCAGCAGCTCATGCCTGTAATCCCAGCCCTTTGGGAGGCCGAGGCAGGCGGATCACCTGAGGTCAGGATTTCAAGACCAGCCTGACCAACATGGAGAAACCCCCATCTCTACTAAAAATACAAAATTAGCCAGGTGTGATAGCACATACCTGTAATCCCTGTTACTGGGAGGCTGAGGCAGGAGAATCGCTTGAACCTGGGAGGCGGAGATTGCAGTGAGCCAGGATCTCACCATTGCACTCCAGCCTGGGCAACTAGAGCACAACTCCATCTCAAAAAACAAAAGTAGAGAGGAAATTTTCTGGGTTGGAAATGAAAGCAGATGCAGCATGCTCCACCTACACTGTGCAGGTGGGAAAGCACTGGCTTCTTTATGCCCTCTGGGTCTGCTGGGTTGCCATGGTGAGCCCAGCTTACACCCCAGTAGGTGACTCAGGCTTCCTGCCCATTTCCCTAACGCAGCCAGGGCCCAAGCACACCTCTGAGGCTCTGCTAGCAGGGAAGCAGCAACCTTTGAGGCAGCAGACACAAGAGAAAGCTTGTGGACAGGCTTCTGAAGGTGGACAGGCTTTGAGGATGCAGCTAGGAAGCCCTGACTTACCTCTGCTGTTTTCTGGGCTGAAGGTCCCTGTTCTCTGTTCTCACTCTGCTTCTGGGAGTGAAAGTATAGAATATTCTAATTCTAGAATGTTAGAAGTGGAAAGGATCCATATCATAGCTTGTAAGCCCCAGGCCCAAAGGGGAAATGGAGACCTTTTGATCCAGTTCTCTCTTTTTCCAGTTGAGGCCCAGAGAGGATTGGTCCCAGGCCACACATGAATTAATGGCAGAGGCAGGCCTCTTCCCTGCTCTGTTAACTAACTCAGGAGTCTGTAGGCCATAAGACCTGGACAGTGGACCAAGAGGAGGGGCTGTGGTTTTTGGCTTGGATATCGGTAGCACTGGCAAATCTCAGTTTTTCCAGTGGGCCCTTTAAGCCTAAAGAAGGGCAGCTTCCTCCTGGGGTATCTATTAGGGAGCTGTCCTTGGCAGCGAAACCATTGGTCCTTTCACTAGTCCTTACAGGGGAGCCAAGTACAGGTCTTAGGACCTTTGAGCCAGCCCAGAGGCTTCTCCCTTCACCCATTGAATCCCTCAGGTCCTTTAGTCCGTCACAAGCCAATGTCGAGCTTGGGTACTGTGCTTTTTATAGCGTCTTTGCCATCAAGCCAGGGAATAAGATCTTATCTCCCCAGTTGTGGGCCAGGGCCCACAGGAATCTGGATGCTGTACCAGGTAGGCATCATGCCAGCATGAGGCATGGCCAACTCACCTAGCTGGGCAAAGCCTAAGACTCACGTTACAGCAAGATGGGGGAGGGGGAGCAGGCACCCTACCCCACCTCTTTCCCTGACTGAGCCCCACCTGCCTGGCTGGCAGAAGGTGCAGAGATGCATGAAAACTACTTCTCTTACTGAACTCAAGGACTTGTCTGAGAAATGCAGTACAGATGCAGGGCAGTCAGACAGTAGGAAGTGGGTATGATTTGAAGTGCATATGGAATTCTATAGGAGTTTAGAGGTGGGAGAGAGAATTCTGTACCTGGGAAGATCCCGGGAGGCTGTGCAAGTGAGTGGTCACTGAGCTAGGCCTTGAAGTATGTGTGGCATTTAGATGAGAAACTTCAATGAACTCTTAGTGGACACAGCCACAAGCTTTTACTTGGGGCAGAACCTCTGGATTGCAGAAGAGTGTCCCAGAGCCGTTCCTTTTGGAAACATGGGGCATGCTGTTTAGAAACACAAGCTTTGCAGCCTGACAGACCTGGGTTCAAATCCCAGCTCCACTACTTCATAGCACTGTGATCTCGGGCAAGTCACTTATCTTGTTTAAAAAAAATTTTTTTTTAATTTTTAATTTTGAGATGGAGGCTCACTCTGTGACCCCGATTGGAGCACAGTCTTGGCTGACTGCAACGTCACCTCCCTGCTTCAAGCGATTCTCCTGCCTCAGCCTCTGGAGCAGCTGGGATTACAGACTTGTGCTACAACGTCTGGCTAATTTTTGTATTTTTAGTAGAGATGGAGTTTTGTCATATTGGCCAGGCTGGTTTTGAACTCCTTACCTCAAGTGATCCACCCACCTCAGCCTCCCAAAGTGCTGGGATTACAGGCATGAGCTGCCACGCCTGGCCCAGAGGTAGAGGTGACCTGCCTAGTGTCATATAGCCTGACTGTGGCACAGCTGAGGCTGGACTCCAGTGCTCCCCCTTCCAAGTCCTGTGCTATTTCTCCTACATAACTTTATGTTATGTTACCCCACCTAGCTGGAGTAGCAAGACCGATCGCCTGAAACATTTAATGAGCAAAGCGTGACTTTGTATAACAACTTGATATGTAGCTATAAAAGATTCAAGTTTTGCAGAACAGATGATGGTTTTAAAAATAGGCCCAGCTGCCTATTTTTTTACATGGTGGCTCACGCCTGTAATCCCAGCACTTTGGGAGGCTGAGGCGGGTGGATTACCTGAGGCCAGGAGTTTACCTGAGACCAGCCTGACCAACATGGTGAAACCCTGTCTTAAAAAAAAAAAAATCGGCCCAGCTACGATAAGTGCCAGGTGAGTGATGCCAATATTAATGAGAGAAGGCGTGCCCTTTTTAAGCTACATCACCCTGTCAAAGCCTCAGTTTCCCCAGTCTAAAGGGGGTGGTGTCTGTAAAGCCCTGAGCATATTGTAAGTGCTCAGTAATGGGAGTTGTTACTACTCCTGGAGCCTTAAGGGAAGAGGTGAGTGTGGGGTCAAGTCCTGGAGGATGGTTTTAGGTATAGGGACTGGAGAGCATTAGGGTGAGCTGAGTACTCAGGTTAGGGGTGCAAATGAGACCGTGAGCTGAATTATCTGAGCTCGTTCTTTAGTTGGGAGGTGGGGAGACACATATTCAGCAAATGAATTTGTGCTGATAAGTACTGTACTGAAGATGGAAAGATGGATAAATATAATCCCAGCCTCAAGGGAGAGGCTGGCATGTAAACAGGCACTTTTGATGTGCTGTGAAGTGCTGCAGCAGGGCCTGCAGAGCTGTGGGGGCATGGGAGGGAGGGGTGGAGGTGGGTGGGTCAGGGAAGGCTTCCCAGAGCTTTGAGCTGGGTCCTGAAGGTTAGGAATGAGTGTTTTGGCTAAGCATGGCAGCTCACACCTGTAATCCCAGCCCCTTGGGAGGCTGAGGTGGGTGGATCACTTGAGGTCAGGAGTTCCAGACCAGCCTGGCCAACATGGTGAAAGCCTATCTCTGCTGAAAACACAAAAATTAGCCAGGTGTGTTGGGGCAAGTCTGTAATCCCAACTACTTGGGAGGCTGAGGCAGGAGAATGGCTTGAACCCAAGAGGCAAGGGTTGCTGTGAACCAAGATCATGCTACTGCACTGCAGCCTGGGAAACAGAGTGAAACTCTGTTAAAAAAAAAAAAAAGAAAGAAAAGAATGAATGAATGTGCTTTGCTGACACAGAGGAGAGAACTGGAGAAGAGCACAGAGACATGGATGATACAGAGCCATAGATCATGCAGAACCATTGACCTTTGCTTCTGAAACCCATTGGGATGTTTCCAACCCTTTCACCTCACCCCTCACTCACCTGCTTGGTTGGGCAGAGAAGCTAACCGCACGTGTGGGGCAGTGAGCACCTGTGATGGCTGTTGCCCTGGTATAGGCGGTGAGGACAGTGCCACCTACCACTTACTGAGTCCCTGCAGTGCCTGGCTTTGTGCGAAGGGCTTCGCATAGTGCATCGTTGTCTTCTGCACTATGGCACAGCCCCGAAGGGTGCGAGTTATGGTATCTAGCTTTATTTAGCTTACAGCTACTCTAGGAAAGTGTAACAGGGAATAATTATATGCTTGATGATTGCTGTGCTGTTGCCTCAAAGCACAGGAGACCTTTAGGGAGGGAAGAAATATGGCTGGAATGAGCACAGAGAAGAGAGACCTTTGTGCAGACACCTTCACCAAACCCTCCTAAGAGGGAGGGAAGGTGACTGATCAGGGAAGGGCCATGACACTGGCTAAGGCTCTTTGCAGGCTCTGAGCACTGGGTATGGGCAGGTACCTGTGTGTGTGTAGAGGGGCGTCCAGCCAGCTGCAGGAAGAGTCTGGGTGAAGACTCAGTGAGAAATAAGACTGGGTAGGTGGGCAGTGCTAGATGGAGCATCTGGAACTGTAGAGGTGTGTAGGCTTGGCCAGGGTTCCTCAGACTGATGGCAAACACAACCATACCTGTCAAAGGCTTGCCCCTTCACTCCATCTCCACTACGAGCATCTCCAACCTTGGTAACTCCTGGGCCTCCTGAATGGTCTCCTGCTCCACTCCTGTCTGCCTGCAGGCAGCTCTCCACAGAGCAGCCACAGGGAACTGTGAGACCTGTAAACCAGAGCATGGCATTCCTGTGCTGAAAATCTTTCAAATGCTTCCTGATGAACTTGGGAGAAAATGCAAGGAAAGCATGGCCTACCCCTTTCTGCACTTCATGCCCCGCTGCCCTTTCCCCTGTTCCAGTCACAACGGCCTTCCTGTGTCCTTCATGCACATCTGTCTTGCCAGGCCCGTTCCTTCATACAGCTGTGGCACTTGCTTGTTCCCCAACCTGGAGTCCTGCCCATAGACTGCCGCACACCAGCACTCTCCTTCAGGCCCCAGATCATACGTCATCTCTTCAGAGAGGCCTCCTTGACTGTCCAGTCTAACATACAGCATATGCCCCACCAGCTGCCTCTCCCTCCATGTCAGACACTATTCTGGATCTGAGGACACAGCCAGGAACAAGACAGAAGAGGCTTCTGATGTCAGGGGGCTCCCATGCCAGCATGGAGCATTGGATGTGGACACAGCAGTGTCAGGCAGTGGTAAGTGTCCTGAAGAAGGCAGACATGAGGGAGAAGTGGGGCTGCTGGATGGCCAGCAAGGGTTCTCTAAGGAGCTGGTGTCTGAGCTGAGACTCAAAGGACAAGAAGAGCCCATCTTCCAAAGACCAGGGTCCCTGAGGAGGATGTGTTTGAGGAACCTGGAGTGCAGGGGAAGAGGGGAAGCGTGGTGTGAGAATATGAGGAAGGCAGGGGCCAGATCATGCCAGTCCCATGGGCCTGGGGCTAGGATTCATGGTGCTGTGTGGTGTCATCAAAGGCTCTTGAGTAGCATGACATGGTCTGACCTGAGGAGAGATGTGCTGACAGCCTGGGAGTGCAGTAGTGTCCGCTCACGCTCTGGGCTGGCCCCAGAGTGCCCTGCCTACCAGCAGCTTGGCTTGGGTCTATGGGGGCACACAGAGTAAAGCTTCCCAACAGGCACCTCTGGCCAAGCTAGCAGTGGATGGAAGCTGCAGCCTAGGAGGGGCAAGCAGGGCACTGGAGTGGAGTGGACGTGGAGTTAAGGGCATGTGGAGAAGGGAGGGGCTGAGTGGCACCAGGCTCTGCTGGACTCCTGCTGGCCATCCCTCCCTTGCCCAGCCTCAGCGCCTGCAGGCGGATAGTCACCAGACCTGTCATGTGGGAGATGTGGCATTGCTGAGCACCAGGGCTAGACATGACTATTCTCAGCTGAACCCTATGGTCCTAGCCTGGGGAGTTGTCAGGTCAGGAAAGGGCAGACCTAGAATCAGAACCAGACTTTAG